CGAGGGCACATCGAGGCTCGCAATCAACACCGCTCCAGTCARTGGAGGGAAAAGGGGTCAGAGAGAGGGTTTTCAAGCGTGCCACCGCGAGCTCGTGGAATAAACGGTTTTTGAGAGCTTTGGGCCGAAGCACGTGGACCCTTTCAGAGCGAACATCCCGACCCCCGTAGGAAAGGGAAGACCCGGGGCTTCGGAGCTTGCCTCGAGGCCGGTCGCTAGCACCGACAAGGCCGCGACTGGAACTCGGGACCTAGAGGGGGGCAAGTTCGGAACAACGAGGCTCGAAGAAGACTTGAGAAGGACACGTTAGCAACGAAAACTCCGAACCTCGATGCTTTCTTAGGGGACAAAAAAACTTGGCTAGCCAGTGAAGGCAAGCTCGTAGCTCGCTCAGATTTGGAGGACAAATTTATCAGGCCAGGAAATGGGCAAGCTCGGAACGACCCAGCTTGGAGGGCGGGAACTTGGCGACCTAGGGAAGTCGAAACCCGCAACTACTTAGCGCGCAAGCCCGTAACAGTTTGGTGCGAAAGGCAAGACTTAGCGCGCCAACACAAAAAAAACAAGCTCTTAACAGCTTGGTTCGTGAGACAAAACTTAGCGAGTCCGTAAAGACGACAACCTTGTAACAGTTCGATTCACAAGGAAAACTTTAGGAAGCCAGGTAAGACAAACCCATGACTGCTCTGTCCGTAAGGAAAAACTCTAAGGAAAAAAAGGACAAGCTCGCAATAGCTAGGTTCCTAGCGAGCCAGTAAGTTGGCAACAACTCGAGTCGCGAGGCAAAACTCAGTGAGCCGGATGAGGCAAACCCTTGACTGCCCAATTCGTGAGGCGAAATTTGGAGAGGCGGGAAAAGAGCGAGCTCGTGTCCGCTCAGTTTGCGAGTGGGAGTAACTATGAGCCGCACCAAGCAGCCGACGCGACGCACGTTGTAGATCCGAGCTCGGCGAAGCCCTGCTGAGAATCTGGGGCGAGAAGGAGTCGCCCACTCGCTCTCCCTTTCTTTCCCTCCCTCGTACTTTTCTCTTACTCTCTCTCTCTCTCTCTTTCTTTCTCTTACTTTTGTCGGCTTCTCCCCCCTCCTTCTCTCTTTTTTTCTCTCTCTTCGCCAGCTTTCCCTCTCTTGCTTCTTTTCCCGCCTCTCTCTCTCTCTGCTTCTGTGAGCGCCACACTCCGTTCCGCCCTCTGCGATTGAGCGCACACGCCTTCGTGAGTGGGTACTATCGACGCCTCCTCACCCGCTTGGACTGCCGTTGTTACCCACCCCTCGTCACCTCTTTCTCTCTCTCTCTCTCTCTCTCTCTCTCTCTCTCTCTCTCTCTCTCTCTCTCTCTCTCTCGTCCCCGCGAGTCCCGTTTCTCCCTATCTCGTCTCCCTTTTTCTCTCTCTCTCCCTCCTTCTTGGCGACAGGGCCCGGTGTGAACCGATCGCCTTCCCTTTATCCCGACATCCCTCCTTCGCTCCGGGTTCCAAATGACGACACGCGCCACCTCGACGAAGATCCCACCGCTCCGCCGCCGCGATTTGGCTGTTATGGAAAAGGAGCGAAGCGTGACCCGCTTCTATTCCTCCAGTCCTTGCCGTCTTCGACCCACTCCGACCTCCTCAATGCAGCTCATTGACGTCTTGACACCGCCCCGGAAAACAAAGACCCTTCCCTCCTTATCCTTCCTCTCTCTCTCCTTCTCCCTGAGTCTCTCTCTCTCTCTCTCTCTCTCTCTCTCTCTCTCTCTCTCTCTCTCTCTCTCTCTCTCTCTCTCTCTCTCTTGTAGACTGTTTCGAACACCGCGAGGAGCGCTAGTGAGCGCCCGCTGTCTCCTCGTTCGGCCGCGTCCCCGCGCGGCTGAAACCCACACGCTTTCTCTCTTCACTTCCTTTCTCTCCCCAATCCCCCCCCTCTAGTAGGCTGCCCGTACGGGATCCGTGCTTCAACCTTTCCCTAGCGCTATTCGGGCTCCCGGGCTAGAGACACAGAGCCTTATCTTTCGCGACCTACCTCGAGCGTCCGTTGGCGCTCATAACAGAACTCTATGCTAGCTCGCGGAGCAACGTTCTCCCCTTCTCTTCCTCTCCCCCTCCCTCTTTCTCTCACTCGTTCGACCCTCTTCTCTCCCCGTCCTCCAGCGCCTCGAGCTTGGTCGGACGTCGAAAACGATCTCCCAGAACTCGACACTCCCGGTTGCTGCGGCGCTCGTCCGCGAGACAGAGCGGAGACGTGCGCTAGAACCCGTGCGCTCTGAAAGTACCCAGTCCGCTCCCCAAAGTGCCCTTCGTACGCGCCCCTCTCTCTCGCCCCCCTCTTCCTTATATAGCTTTCAGCGTCGATCGCTCCTTCCGATCTTTTCTCCCTCGCTTCTAACTTCTCGCTTCCCACCGACTTTTCGCCAAATTTTCGTTTTTGCGGCCATCCTTCCTCAGTCTCCCGCCCACCTTTGTAGTTCTCTTTCTGGCTTCGCGATCCACCTTACTCTCCCCTGCCCAATCATCGTGATCTCTCAGCCGCCTATGGATTCAAGGTCTTCTCGGCCTTCTCATGTTCTCTCTTCCCACCTTCACTTTCACCCGCCCCGCAGTGCTTTCCCGCCGTCGAACCCTGCCCGTTTGTCTCCCCTCCATCCCCACCTCCTCTATTGCGTCTTCCTGCCTTTGGTGTCGCCGAAGCCCGACTCTTCGTCCGTTCGCCTCCCTCTCACTTCCACCCGTTTGACAGCGTCCTCCCACCCCTGGTGTCGGCGAATCCTAGGACCGCCCATCGGACTCCCTTCCAACTTCCTTACGTTATACCGTGTTTGAACCTGGCCAGGTATTTGAGCTTTTGAGTTTAGCACGCCTTCGACAGTTTTCAAGAACCGTCTTTTGGCGACCCCACCCGACGACGGTTGCCCTTCCCACTCCGAAGACGTTTGTCCCTTCTCCCTTCTTGGGCCTGATTCACGGGGCGCGACATCCTCGGTTTTGGACCAACCCTTTACCCCCAGCTATCGGAGCTGTCTGGGACCATAATTCTCTTTCCTCCCCGCGACCCTCATATAGCGACCTCGATCCTTTGGCCGCGGACTCCCGGCTGACCGATCGACTGCCTCGACAGGCCCAGGTTCCTTCCGAGTTCAGCACGCCTCAATCTCTCATGATTTCGCCAGACGCCGTGTTAGAATTGCGTCGCCGTATTGCTTGGCGGAGCCGTGGCATTTCTCCTGATCTCCCGGGACCGTAGCACAATCAAATTTCCCCTCGGGCGCCCGCGGTAGCCGGGAGATTCTTCATGGCCGAGGTCCTGGACCGCCCCTGACCGCCCGTTTATGTCTGGTCAAGGCCTCTTCTGATGCATGTTGCCTTCCCCGACTTTTTCAGATCTTGGCACCGAAACTTCAATCTTTTATGATCCGCCCGAACCTGCTTGCGCCCAAGGTTCAGACCGTCCCTCCAGCCAATCGCAAGGTTAGTACGAAGACCCGGACGCCCGAGGTCATCCACAAATAGCATGTCCACACGCACACATACGACAAAACCCAATCAAAATAGCAAAAAAAAGRAAAAAAARGTGTATATTTMAWWAAAAAAAAMCTCGGCRGGTAGACAGCCGCCCGACAACCAGCCCACACCCCATCTCTCGCCGTCCCCGGCGAGCATTTCCCAATGTATTTCCCCTTTCCTCATTTTAGCTCATCCCATTTCCCCTGGTTCCTCTAGTTACCCACGCCCCTCGACGCCCGTTTTTTCTAACTATGTTCGTTTCTCCTAATTAAGGTATAAAATCCCTTTCGGTGTCACAACATACCGTTCTTTCCCGGCTCACGTTTCCCTAACTATGGTACATCCTTCCCGTTGGTTCCGTGACACCCGTCCCTCTTTAACTATGATACAATCTCCCTTCCTAGGACTAAGATTCATGGCGCATCATCCTACGACCGTTTCTGTCTCCTCTTCCTCTTCTCGTGCCTTTCCCTCTTTCGTTTCCTCTCTTCTCTCTCCCGTTTGATTTTTAAGGCTTTCCTTGAGGCACTCCTCCTTTCTCTTAGCCTGCGCTTCCCTAACTGGTCGGCGTCACCTTCCTCTTCTCTAGGCCTTTTCTTCTTCCTAGGGGTCTTAGGTAGCGAAGGCTTTTGAACCTTATACCCCTTTCTTGTTGGGCAAGACGAGGCCCCTTGTCTGGAGGTCTCCCCTTTTTCATGAGTGATGGTCAATTCTGCTTCGAGCACTTCCTTCCCTTTTCGTTTCGGCTCCTCCCCAAAGGTCCCTCTTGATCGGAAGATTTTGAGACGAACCCCTGCGACAGGGTCCCTTAGCCTACTCCCATCTAATTCAGCGAGCATATAAGCCCCCCCGTCCAATCTCTTTAGGACCTTATACGGCCCCATCCATCGGTTCGCTAATTTTCGGCTCCAGGTCTTTTCCAGTGACGAAATCGTACATCAGCACTAGGTCGTCAATCCCTAATGGCGCCTTCCGGACCCGCAGATTTTTGTCCCACCTATCTTTCCCTTTCGCCCTCTCTCTCTCGATGTTCTCACTGGCCGTGGCTACCCCGACATCCAAGTTCTCGGCTATCTGCTGTATCCGTGCTTCCAATAGCTCACCCCTAGATATGTTGGTTTTCCATGAGACACTTGTCCAAGTGTCAATGTGGAACTCAATGGGTAGGGGACAATGCCTATCGAACCAAAGGGTGTAAGGAGGGTACCCAGTACTCGATTTGACCGTGATGTTGTCTGGCCAAACTGCGTACCGTAAATACTTAGGCCATTGTTCCGCACGACCCTTGCACCACTTTGCTAGGGCGTCCACAAGTGTCCGGTGCCCCCTCTCTACCGGCGCGTTGCTTTGGGGGTGATAAGCGGTTGTATAGGCCGCCCCGATCCCTGCCTTTTCTAATAACCCTTTTACCTTTTGGGTCAAGAACTCAGTTCCCCTATCCATGACTATTCTCCCGACACACCCATACCGCGCGATATACATAGGAGAAAATCACTCACCTCCTCCCCCGTCTTTTTTTTAATGGCCTTTGCTTTTACGAATCCGGTGAGGTCATCCCGGGCGTTGATTATATACCGAAGACCGCCGACCCTTTTGGCATGGTCACCAAGTCTATATGGACCTTCTCGCCCGGGACCGTGGGAAGCGACGGAACTAAGGGTTCTTTGTATCGAACCGTCGCCCTCTTCTGGCAAGCTTTACAGGTCGAACAATACCTTTCCACATCGGTGTATTGCCCGTCCCACCAATAAAGCCTGCGGACCTTATCGAAAGTGCCTTTAACCCCCCTGTGACCCCCAACGACCCTATCGTGTAATTCCTCTATGACTGCCCTTTTCTCCTCCGGATCGCACAACACCCTCATGGGTATCGCGAACTTGGTGGGTCTTTTGAAGAGGTGGCCTCCCCGCAGGCAATATCCCAGTGCCTCTTGCTGGATCCTTTCAGTCCCTGTTTCCCTACCGGCCAAATATAGTCCCATGTCTCGGTACTTCCCGTCGTAGAGATTCGCGAGAAAAGTCCTTGGGCCTCCTTCTTCCCCTCGGCTGCTCCCCGCTACTTGCGCCCTATTAGCGGCGACTTTCATTATCGCCTCTTTGGCCATTGTCTCCTCTTCCTTCTTAAGCCTAGGCAGGTCCTCCTCTCGAATGGGAAGCCGGGACAATCCATCGGCGACCTGGTTCTTGGCCCCCGATATCCTTTCGACCCTATAGTCGTAAAGCCTGATATGGATCATCCAGCGGGCGATGGTCGGATCTGTCAGTGAGAAATCATTTTGGAGGACTGCGGCCACTGCTGTCGGGTCCACCCTTAGGAGAAATCGCCGTCCGTACAGGTAGTGACGGAAGGCTTTTAGGCTATGCAGTACCCCCAACACTTCCTTCTTGAATTGACTATAATTTCTCTTTGCGGGATTCAAGGTCCGGCTCTCGAATCGCAACGGTCTCTCTCTCCCCTCCCCATCCTTTTGCGACAGGAGGCCCCCAACTGAGTGAGGTCCAGCGTTCGTGGATACTATAAACGGGCGACTCTCCTCATCTTCGAAAAATGGGACTCCCAGGACCTCTCCACCTTTGCGGAACTCCCCCTTCAAAGCTTCCATGGCCGCGGCTTGCTCTTCTCCCCAAACCCATCCTTCCAATCTCTTGAGGAGTCTTCTCAGGGGTTCTGCTTTCTCTCCATAGGCTTTTATGAAGATTCTCCAGTAGCCCACAACCCCTAGAAACTGCCTGACCTCTGTTATGGATTTGAGCGGCGATAACCAAGTCATCAACTTTACTAGTTTCTCGGGATCGGGCCTCCGCCCCTCCTTATCGCAAATGAACCCTAATATCTTGATGGAGGATACGCCCCAACGACACTTAGTCCCGCTTACCGTGAGGTTGGCGTCGTCTAGTTTCTCAAGGACGTCCCTGACATCTTTCATGTGGTCGGCCACAAACTTTCTAACCCCAGGGAAAACCTCGGTCTCATCCCGCTCGACCGGCCGTTTTGGGAAATCATCCAGCAAGACCTCCACCTTCTCCGGTATGAATTCCTTGAGGACCGCGATCATGGCCCTTTGGAACACGGCTACCCCATTCGTCCAACCCATCGGTACCACCATCATTTGAACCAGCCCTAAGGGTGTATGCATGGCGGTCATGTGCCTGTCCCGGTAATCMAAAGGAATTTCGTCATACCCCGAGAAAAGATCGCAAATAGAGTATATTGAGCGACCCGCCGATCCTTCCGTTAGCAAGTCGACCTCAAGTATAAACCCCACGTCTCTTACGGTGACTGCATTGGTCCTCTGGAGGTTCTGGATCCATCTTAGTTTGTTGCTATCTCCCTTCCTTAAAAAGAACCACTTATTGGAGTAGGCACTCTTGCAAGGTTCCGCGACGAATGTCCTGATTTTTTCCTTGATGAAGGTCACTATCTCTTCTTTCTCCTTTTGAGCGTACTTCCATTGGGGCCTATCCTTCCAAGGGACGTGCGGGACCGTGTGGATCCGGGCAGGCTTAGCATACCTTGGGTCGATTCTCCCTCTCTCTGAGTCATCAAAGGCAATGGCCTTATCGCAGCCCCTTAAGGTCATCGCTATGAACTGTTTTTCTTCCTCCGTGAGATTCCCATCTCCTATATCCATTTTTGCCAGTCTATCGGCCGTTATCCTTTGCCCTTCCATCTCTTTCCTCTTCCGGATGATATCGGCTATCTCCTCTTTCGATATTGTAGCCTCCCCCATTCTATCCCGACTAACCGCGGCGGGTTTTACTTTCTCCGCCACGGTTTTGTGCTTCTTAACTCCGCCGGCTAGGGGGATCCCTCTAAAAAAGACATGCTCATGCACCCACCGAATTCCTCCTCCTCGTCCTCCTTCTCGTACCCCATACCGTTAATTACAATCCTATCCCCCACGTCCTCGACCTCCAATTGGTCCCTCTTGGGTCCTCTATCCATCAAGGGTACTTCCTCTAGACGGACCCGGCGCACCCTCGACTGGCTCCCCTTGCGCCTAGTAAGGCTGGTCCGGTTACGTTCATCTTGAGCGTCTACGGTCTTTAGGACCACTCGGATTCCATCAGGACTTTGGATCGAGAGGGTTTGACTTCCATCCGGCAAATCAACTGTGGTTGTGTAAACCGCGCTCAACCAGATTCTCCCGAGGATCAATTCGGAGGAGCATTCTTTTACCGAAAAGATCGGAACTGTGACCTCTACCCCAGCTACCTCAATCACGGGGCTATGACACACCCCTTCAGCCGGTTGCAGCTTGTTATCGGCCACCACCATTGACATTGCTACCCCTCGATCTATTTCCAATCCCAGCTCCCGAGCGATGGAGTCCCTACAAATCATAGACTCAGACCCGTTGTCTACCAGAGCCCTCATCTTTTTCCCGCTTACCACTGCCTGGAGCTGGCCGCTACCTAACACATAGAATTTCTTGGCCTCTTCTCTCGAGAAGAAGTTGGCAGGTAGCTCCTCCAGAGTAATGCGGGAGGCCTGTGCTTCTTCTTTGGCTGACCCTTCCACCGGTACCGTGGGTCCCCCAACGATCGGGACTCTAACCTTCCTAGTGATGCTTAGGAGTTCCTCCCTGGCACTTTTGCTCGCGGCTAGATATTCTAAAAGGGTGCATTGCATGGGCTGCATCAGAGTCCTCCTAAGAGGTGCTACCGTGTCTATCTCATCCAGAGTGCACTTCATCTCGAACTTTTTGGGCCCCCTTTTCTTAGGCGATTTTGGCGATGTGGGCTCCTCCTTCTTTTCCTCCACCATTTTCACATCGGTCATTGGCCGGTCATTGTCGCCGCTCTTCACTTCCGTCCTTTCCGTCACGCTCGCTTGGTTCTCAGATGTCCCAGCCCCGATCTGCATCCTTACCCTTAGGCAGGGCCTCTCTTCCTCTGGCTGGGTTTCTATGAACTTACTGCTTGGGGCTCCCTAATGGACACCCCTCCCGGTGACTCCACCATTTGGACGTGAGCCGTGTTGGAGGAGCTTCCGACTTCCGGTTTCTTTCCCAGTCTAGCCTCCTGAAGGGCCACCCTCTTGTCCACGTTCACCTTCATTGATGGGTAAAAGGAGACCACCTCTCCACTATCTCCTCACACAACCCACTTGTTCTCATTTAGCTCGACCATTCCCAATCTCAAAGTCTCCGTGAGATAGGGGCAGTCCCGCTTGATGTGATTTTCTTCATTGCAGTAGACACACCCGGCCCGAGCTTGGGGATTGTTGGGGCGCAGACCCCCTCGTGTTGTTGTCGCTATAGGCACAGGCGGAGCTGGTGGCGGTGGTGCTGGGGGTGGTGGCGCCCTAACCTCCGGTCGCGGCCCAGGGGCCCTTGCTGGAGGGGCGTCTCCCCACCTTCCATCCCTAGCATCCTTCCAATGGGAGCTCCCCCAATCGGAACCACGACTCCCCCCTATCTCCCGGTCGTTCCTCCAACCTCCTTGGCCACTTGATTCGTTCCTCCATCCGGTAGGTCGTTCTCCCCACCGAGGAAAAGGTGGGCCCGGGGGCGGTTTATCGCTCCCCCTTGGACCATCGTTTCGCGTGCCTCGCATGTTGCGGAGTGCCATGTCCAAGGTCTCTTTCATATACTCCCTCACATCTACTCCTCCCCCTGTGAAAACTACCTCCGCGACTTTCTCGAAATTTGCGGAATCCCTTGGGGTCTTTTCAAGGACCTCTTTCCTCTTCTCCTCTGGTAGGTGCAACATGAACATCACGCACCTATCCACTTCAGACAACATTCCCCTGTCCACTAGGGTCTGGGACAAGCGTTTGAACCTTCTGGTGAAGGCCACCAAGCTCTCTCGATCCCCCCTCGTAATTCGTCTCAAGCCTTCCACGGTTGGGATCAGGTCGTCACAGGAGAAAGTCTGCAATAGGCTCGCCCTGAAGGTCCTCCACCTGTCGTCGGAGGGGTGGATAGCCCGGATCGCGGTGTCTAACTCGGGGTCCGAGTGCTGGATAAAATAGTCGATCCACTCTCTTTCGGAGAATCTTTTACGGTAAGCATAGCTCTCCCACTTCTCCACAAACCCTGTTACATCTCGTCCATCGAAGAAAAGCGCCTCCAGATCTAGGTTGACGTCGTAATACGGTACCCGTCGGTCGTCGTATCGGCGAAAATAGGGACCTTTCATTGGCCCATTGGTTGCCGGATCATATGGCTTGTACCACGAGGGATCGGGCTCCTCTATCTGGCCTCGAGGTCTTGGTGGCTCCCAGGGGTCCTCCGCGTAGCGGCCCCGCTCATCCGGCCAGTCTGCTTCCCACCGAGCGTGGTCCTGCCCTCTAAAGCATCTCCAGGCCTCCACCCCTTGGCTCCTGCCTGTAATCTCGCCGGGCGCCCATGCAGCATCTACTTCTCTTACGGTCCATCTACGTGGCCTACCATCAGCCTCCGCCGGCCTTTTGTCTCTAAAGCCCCTTCTACTTGGTCCCCCTTCCTCTTCTCTCCGGGGTGGTCGGTACCCCTCCTTATCTCTTGGAAATTCCAGGACTTCTCCCATTCTTGCGTCCGGTAAATCCCCCCACCAAGATTCTATGGGAAGGTCCCTCGAGCCCTCAATTGCCCCTTCTCTCGCAGGCATTCGCATTTCCACACCAGATCGCGGCCCCACCAAGCCCTGCCTTTCACTGGTGACGGCCTCCGGGACCCTTTCGACCCATCTCCGCGGCCTGCCGCCGGCCTCTGCTGACCTCCCCTCTCTCAAGTCCCTCCTGTCCTGACACTCCTCTTCCTCCCTCCTAAGAGGTCGATACCTCTGTCTATCTCTAGAAAATTCCCGCGCTTCTTCTAACCTTGCTTCCGCATCCATTAGGTCCGCCCACCGGGACTCCACCGGAACGCCTCTCGCGGCTTTGGTGACCCCTTCGTTCACCGGCACCTGCAGCCCCACATCCCTGTGCACTCGCACTTCCGTGCCACTCCTTTGCCCCTCCGAGGCTTGTCTTTCCTCCGAAGCCATTTTCGGACCTCCCTCGACCCTATCTAGCGCTTCCGCCCCCCCTGTCATTTCCTCCACTACTCTACTTAGACTGGCCCCCAACTCGGGACTCTTTACTATCCCCCTCCTTTCAGTGGTTTGCGGCGGACTAGAGAGACCAGCCTCCACTTCACACTCCATGCACCCTTATTGGCAATTTCTAGTCGCTTCCTTCACTATCGTCCGCGTTACCTTCTCGCTCGTGTCTCTCACTACTCTTTGCGTTAATTTCTGAGCTCTCTTCTTCCTCCGATCCCTCCTTCTCTTCACTAGAGTCGTCGTTAGCACTTTATCCTCCCGACTCCTCGCTGGTTACTGTCCACCAGGAATCTCTCAGTTTCTTCTCCTCGCTAGCGCCCAATGCAAGATTCGCAATCTCCAGATCCGAGACGCCCCTAACCTCTTCTTGCGCACATCTCCTAATCAAATCCCTGTCCACATCACCTGGCTGTCCGGAGAATAGAGGTTTGATGAACTCCCCAACGCGTGCCCACCACTCGAAGTCGGTGTCCACTCTCGACTCCCAGCACTAGGTAAATAACTCGTGGCCTCCTTCTTCACCCAGAGGGAATTTTTCTATCACTTGACTCCTCAATCGGACTCTCCTCGTGGTCTCGTCGTCTGCATAGAGTCGTTGATAGGCCCAGGTAGGGATACGCCAAGTTCTCCTGTGGGTTGCCTTCGAAACTTCCTCCCTCCCTCGATATTCTACCTTATCAATCACGGGTCCCTCGGTGCCACCCGTTCTCAATCAACCCACTCGTTCTAGGGCCCTTTCGGCGATGCCTAGAGGATCTTTTCCTTCCGCTAATTCGGTTGCGAAGATTAGCCAGGCGTCAGGGGACAAGTATATTTCTGCTTTCCTAGTGCAACTGCTTCCCTCGGACGCCACTGAGAACCTGACCAGTAGTCACCTCACCTTCCCCTCTAACTTTCGGGAGAGTCACTCCATGTCTTCCCACCCATGTTATAGCCTTATCAAAGGTACCGTTGTGAGGAAACCCGGGAAGGGGTCACCTACCGTTCGCTGAAGCCAAGGGCAACGGTGCCTGTCACTCGCCGCGCCCGCTTCCGAGGTCCTCAGCGACCGATAGGGTATGTGGGGCGGATATGCCTGTCCGCCCCCACTGTGAGGAGGAGGTTTATATGCTCTTCTTCCGGCGCAGCAAATTGCGAAAATTATTCACCCTATCAAACAATCCGTTTGGATTCACAGGTCTATGAGAAAGGATCAATTCTCAAGGATATCAAATTCGGCTCCCAATCACTAGGCACTAGATTTTGCCACTAAGAACAGAGACAGGGTGTTATCATGACCAGCGATGTTCCCGGACACACAACTCCATATTTTCTGGACTTTCAAACTTGTGACGAAAGGGAGAATCAATGAGCAGCCATGGCATCAGCCCCCACACTGGTGGTTTCAGAACCGGTTTATAGATCAAAGTCCCGCAATGCAACCCCCCCTGATGGGATGCTTGATCAAGGAAATAGGGACACTTCTGATACCTGATTGGTCGATCTGACTAAGTTTACAATGAATCAAGATCGCAAAAGATAATCAAGGTGGTCGTGGGTAATTGAACAGCTGAACTCTGCATGATTAACATAACTGCATACGGGATTTTTCTTCACCTCAAATCACCGGGTGGTTCCGAAATCTGTGTCTGCAAAATAGCCTGGCATTACGCCCATTTGTTTTCGTAATCAAGGTCGCTACGGTCACTGCATGGTTTTTCAAGGCCCCCTTATGGAACTGGTGTCTGATCTTCCATTGAGGGCGTCTTTTAAGAGGAATAACCGCTGATGCGGCTGCATGAAGTGTGAGTGAGGGAAAACCAACTTGCATTTTACACAGTTGTTCCGAAGTTCCCTTCAAAGAGTAATGCTGCTCTTGCCGTTATTCCTTTCTCACAACTTTCTCTTGGTCTGTGTACCCAACCCATATCAGCCCCTGTTACGTTCATACTGTCATCACACCGTATTCATGGAAGCTTTCAGTTCGAGCGCTTCAATCGGAGACCGCTACTTATAGATAATTCTTGAGTCGGATCATCCAACAGACCCGTGCCCCGTTGGCTCAGCTACAAGGAAAACATGAGATTCAACATCAATATTGGAAAACAGAAAATTCTTCTCTCTTCCTCTCTCTCTCTCTGCCTGCGCACTCCCTCACTCTCTCTCTCTGCCTGCGCACTCCCTCTCTCTCTCTCTCTGCCTGCGCACTCCCTCTCTCTCTCTCTCTGCCTGCGCACTCCCTCTCTCTCTCTGCTTGCGAGCTCCCTCTCTCTCTCTCTCTCCCTCCGAGCTCCCTCTCTCTCTCTCTTTCTGCCTGCGCACTCCCTCTCTCTCTCTCTCTGCCTGCGCGCTCCCTCTCTCTCTCTCTCTGCCTGCGCGCTCCCTCTCTCTTTCTCTCTGCCTGCGCGCTCCCTCTCTCTCTCTCTCTATGTTCGCACATGGATTCGTCTGCCAGCCAGTTCGCTCAGTCATCAAACAAGAAAAAGAGAATAAATCATCAGCGAGGGGGTCCCCAGATACACCGCAATACTCTTGAAAAGACTTGAATATCCTGCGGACCAAATGTCATGGTGAACACCCAGTTGGGTAGATTAAATGAGCATGCCAGTGCATCTGTGATCAAGCCTAGAGCAGGACTGCAGGCTGCAACACGTTTGTGATTGAGTGCTTTAGCATAGATGCCAACAAGATATAATAAAAAATTATCCCTTTGCCCGAACTCAGGCAGATTCAGTATGTTTCAAAATCTTTGCCCGTTTTCTCACCAATAAGGCTATGAGAACGACAAAGTTGCAGAAACTTGGGGGGATACACGGTCATGCTCTTGATTTGCTGTGCGCTGAGGCAATGCCCGCATACTCACCATAGGGTAGAGAGAATGAATCTGCTACTTAACCATGGAAAAGTATGTCCGTGTATTCTCAGACTCTTATTTGTTGCAGGCCCGAATCTATCAGCAAGCCTGTGATTCTGCAAGTAGGAGGGATGGTGATTCCCCTGCTGGCAGTTGAATGGAGAACCTGAAATGTCACGTTACCAATTAAATTAATAATAGAGAAAAATCTTCCAGGTTGCAGAGCCCTTGAGTCATATCATAAGGAATGAGAGGGTTATTCGTCGGATCTGACGACGCTGATCCTCCTCTCGTGTTTATGGCCGTGCTGGGATCTCAATTTATTTACGAACCAAGCTCTGAGAACCATTCAGATTCACGCACAAACGTGATCTCAATGTGTCAATGAACTAGACATCGAAAACAACCCAGTTTCAAGTGGTATTTTGAATTATTCAAGTTTCCATACATGACCACCCTGCTTTCTCTCTCTCTTATTCGCACCCTCTCGTTCTCTCCCACGCGATCACTTTCTCTCCCTATGTGAGATCTCTCTCTCTCTCACCTACATGATCGCGACCCATCACCCGATTAATGTGCGCGTAGCCTTGCACAGGCTCAATGTACGTGCCCGCAGTTAGGGCCTGTCACCCAGGTGCAGCGAATTGAAAATTAAAAAAAACTTGGCATATTGAGCTGTTAGGGCCAGGTCACTCCTTTATCACTCATACTCCCGATCCGTATAGGAACGGATCCAGAAGTGTCT